CTGCTACCTGGGAATGGGATGTACCTGGTCTAGGGTGTTTTGGCTCTGGAAGATCCAGGAAGAACTTCTGTGTGCATTGACCACCAGGCATATCAGCCCATCTCTGTGGGATTCTCTGCCCAGAATGGAAATGGGGCGGGTGCAGGTTATCTTGGTATCTGTGCCGAATCTCCATGGTACCCCTGGGCATGGTGGAAAGAAAAGAGCTCTAGGCTCTGTCTTTATTAGCTAAGCAACTGTGGACAAGTTATTAATCATCTCTGGCTCTTAAGTTTCTCATCAAAAAAGAACTGGACCCAAAGTAACTTTGTTGCATTGATCATGGTGACCCAGGCTTGTATGACGAATGGAGAAGAGCACTGGACTTAGACCAGGATGTCCAGTCCAGGCTCAGGCTCTTTCTTTGCCTCAGTTTCCTCCTCTGTACAACAGAGGGCAGAGAAGAACTGAACTAGGGGCCTGCTACAGCCCAGCTGGGTGTTCTCTGGCCAGTCCTGACCTAGTCTTTCACTTTGGTCACTGGATGGGATTGTCCCCAAGAAGAGGAAAGGAGGGAACGCAGCTTGGGTAGATGGGACCCACAATCCTGTTTAGTCTCTGGTCCTTCTGGGTTGGTACCAACAATGACAGTCCTCTAGGCTTACTGTGGAAGTGACACTTCTCAGGGTCCCGGGAGGGAGTCACACTGTCAGACCCTGCTGTCACTCTGGGTGTGTAAATCAAAGGCCACCCTCCACCAGCCTGAGATAAAGAGTCTCCTGGGTTTCCTGCTTGAGGGTGACTAAAGCCATTTTTCCAGGTGCATCTCCTAGTCATGCTAGAGAAATGAATGGATATGGAGGAGAAGCTTGGGTTGGAGCCTCCTTCTAAATTTACTAGTTGGGTAACATTAGTCAGGACTTTTAACCCCTTGAAGAATGCAGGCAGTTTAGGATATAAAATTGATGGTATTGAATAAGGCAATATTTACGAACTTGAATAGCAAGATGCCCGGCCCCTGGTGGGTGCTCGGAACATGCTGTTTAGATCTGAACCAAATGTGGTACATTAATGGGCATCTTTAACAGATGGGCAAAGTCATTGATCCCTGTAGCCTTTCAGGAGGGTGCAAGACCCCTAACTGGTCATTTCAGACCAAGGGGGTGACTACAGCTGGCAACGGGTGACACAGTTTATCTGGTGCCCATGACTGGGCCTTCACAGGCATCAGCATCTGACCCTTTCATCTATGCTGACCTCTAAGACAGAAGTCCCAGCATCTTAGCCCCAGTATTTTATGAGTTCCCCCCATGGAGAGCCCATCGAGTCAGCCTGATGGTGTCAGGTGTCAGTAGCCTGTCCTGGGGTAGGGTGGGCTTTTTGCTTGTCTGATGCAGCAGGAATGGAACTCTTTGCCCCTCAGTGCTGGTTGCCTGGAGGTTCCCTGAGAGTGCTGGCTCCTGAGAGCTGTAACCCTCAGTCTTGGATGAACATTCGAAATCTTTAAAATAACCGATGCGGCTGGAGGTGTAGCTCAGGAGCAGAGAATTCGCGTAACATGTGTGAGACCTTAGGCATCACAGAAAACAAAACAAAACAAAACAAAAAAACCAATAGCCTAAAACACAAGTCCCATCCTAGACCAAATCAGAACCTGAGGGTGAAGCCTGGGCACGGATACTTTCTGAAACACTCCCCAGGTGGCTTCTAGCTTTCAGCCACGGTCCCAGCTGCTACGGGGAATCACCATGGTTTGGCCTGGGAAGGAGCTTCCCCCGGTCCTTCATGCTTTCTGTGGTTTCCATCATGCTGTGTGCTCCCCAGTGCCTGACTTCTTCCTCAATTCTCTGTCCTAAAACGGGATTTGTACTCCTTTCACCTTTTCTTGTCTGTTCTGTGAGCTGATCTTTTCTATAGTAATCTTGGTCTTTTTTCCTTATTCTGGCTTTCATTTGTTAGTTTAGTCCCAGTGCTAATGGACGCCTGTGCAGTCAGGCACTCGCTATCGACTGGGGACTCAGCCAAGGTCAAGCAGACCAGGTGCCCTCTCCCAGGGAGTGTCCTTTCCTTCTGCTTGAATTTGCCCTCTTGATCTTTCTCTTGTTATTACTTAAGGCTGTGATATTCAAAAATTATACTATGTCCCCCTAACTACATTAGCAATCCCTTTACCATTTTGTCTCTTTTCTTCACTCCTTAAGGCAGCTCTCTTCCTGTCTTCAGTATCCTGATTCTAAGCAAAGCCTTTGCCACCGGCAGCTGAGTCAGCCCGGCTGCCTGTATTGGGCACAGTTTTGCTCATGTGTGTGCCTAGTCCTTGTTCCTGAAACTAGGCGCCATGGGTACTTGTCCAAGGTGACAGACTACTGCTGGATGCTTCCTATCTCGTTGTTGCAGCTCACCCAGGCACCAGAGAAGAGGACACTTGAGCTGAGCTCTGTCACAATCGTTAGGGACTTTCCCTGTCCTTACCTATCTTACCACAGCTCTGAGCCATTCACAGACACTGCTCCCAGCCATTCTCTAGCGCAGGCAGGCAGGGTTAGGCGTGTCCTTAACCAGAAAGAGAAACAAACCTAGTTTTGATTATTCTCAAAGTCTAGGGATTTCTTTGTAGATCTGCTGTTCAGTCAGTAGTTTTCAACTTTTTTTTTTACCTTGACCTACATTAAGAAACAAATATTGCATTCCTACATATAGCTAAAAAATTTCCCCCAACATCGCTTACCTTTGTTATATTCCTAAGATGTCTGAAATTTTACTTCATTTCTTTAAATGAGCTGATAATTTACTGAATTAAATTCATAGATAACTATTATGATATCCTAGTGATGAGATAATAGTTGTAACTCACAGTTTACAAAATACTCTTCCAAGGCGGGAACCACATCCTTTACCCACAGGGGCCCAGAGCCTGATGCTTGGTCTCACCCCTCTTTGTGGATCCTTGGCAAGCAGCCTTTTCAATCACGAAGCTACCTTCTGAGCAAAGCACGCACTGCCACCCCTTGTGGGCACAAATTCCAAACACTGTGTCTTTTCCAGAAGGCCCACCAGCTGGCAGCTGCCAACATCTGAAAAGGAGCATCCTCCTGCTCTAAGTCCTGTCCCTCCACCACCTCTGATAGCACAACTCGGAAAATGAAAGTTCATGGACAGATCATAGAACGTGTTTCTTGTTTACGTGACTGTGTTTCACCATCTCAGCTGCTCACAGATTACATAGGCAGCAGGTGCCAATCAAGCTAAAGGGTGCACTATGGCACCTGGCTTGGTGCCTGGGAAATTCTGCCGTCCCTGCTGCCACACAGTGGAAGGGGAGTCCTTGGTGAATGGTCTGGACACAGAACACTTCTATCTAAAAGACAACTCAAGCCTATAATGAAACACCCCTCAGAGATGAAAAGATAATTTTTTGAAAAAAATCATTTCTTAAGTAGAGAGGTGAGAGGACAGTGTGTGACCAGCCCAGGGAAGTGATCAGAGACAGAAGTGAGCATGTCAGGGTAGAGCCAGGCTGCCCCACGCCCACCCCATCATGCTTCCCATGCCCCCTTGCTGGCCCTGCAGAGTGGGGACCTGTGGCTGCTTGTTCCAGGCAAGCAGGCTCAGTGGTGCTCTCTGGGGCTGCTGGTGGCTCTGCTGGGAGCTGGGTAGACTCCTGCCATCCTTCACAGTGAGACGGCTGCTTTGGGTTGCTCGTTGAACTTGTGTACAATTTAGGGGAGCTGGTGAGCATCTAGGTGCTCAAAAGTCTCTGTGCTCAGGTGGCCCCGCTTTGGGGCACGTTTCCTTTTTTCTTTTCTGTGAGTGTCACCCTCTTGCAGACCCTGGGGCCAGTCAATGTCCAGTTGGCATGGCCCAAGACCTGCATGCAGTCCTGAAGCTGAGGCTAAACCATTGGTGTGGCTCCATCAGGGGTCACCCACGTCACATTGTTTTCAGCAGCTGGGGAAGGAAGAAAATCTCCTAAAATCAGGAATCTGCGTAAAGAGCTGCCCACTCAGACTTTACTTAGACTTAAGACAACAGAGCTACAAGGATAATTTTAAAACATGAGAAAAATATCCAGATCACTCAGGAGATCAAAATCTGCCCTGGGTAAAGGGAGCCAGCTCAGGGCTCCCAACCAGATCCCAGAAGTTGGGAGTCCGGCTGCCACAAGGTTGGCTGAAGACAAGCACAATTTAAGAATTTGCACGCATATGATTAACCAAGGCAATTGTTCCTTGATACTTGTGGGGATAAACTGTCAATTTTGCCCTCAAGGGCACTTTGTCACTCAATCTTTAAATGCCAGCTCAATTTAGACCTGGCTCAACACTGCTGACTTCATGTGCCCCAAAGGAAATTTCTGAATGTGTCAGACTGAGTTCTATGGCTCACAACTCTGCTTGAGATTCTCAATTCAACACGCAGACAATAAATGCATGGTATAGGCATTGACCACCCCACCTACACCCGTTTCTAGCCACCCATGAGTTTGGGACGAGGAGACAGACACAAGCCTCCTTGGCTGATGCCAATCAAGGGACACGTTGGCACTCTGAGACACAGCGAGAACGCATTTTAGGCTGAACGCTTCCATTTGGAGGGGGCTTTATAGTTTACAGCTGTGACAAAGTGCATTCCCTGCCTGTGTCTTCGGAGATAGCTGAGGCCAAGTTAAAGACATGCCCAAGTGCCCACAGCTATGGTAGGTTTGCCATCCCAGCCCCAGACCGAGATTCCCGGCCAGCACTCTTCCCGGAAGTCTGGTCTCTGTCCCGGCAGCAGCTTCCATGCCCCCACTGTGGAAGGCCACATGAAGACTGCCTCGAGGACCTGGTGTCCAAGCGCCTATGCCTAGAACATGCTACCTATTTTAACCCTTCTCCTTAAATGTTAATATTTATCGTTTACAGCCAGCCACTGCCCCCTTTCAAAGGTGAACACAGTAAAATTTATGACAGGCGCACGATCAGTCCCTGAGGCGATAAAAGCAGGAAGAAGTGTGCTAACTCATCCATCCTTGGAAGAAAGCCATTCGCCCGCAGGCCCGGGACACCTGAGCAGCTGGCATGGGGCTGCAGCCAGGCGTCTTACTTGTGGGGCTGCTGCTGCTGGGTCAAGGTGAGTGTGCTTTTGCTCAGGCACAAGTGATGCCCCATCCCGCCTCGTGTCCTCTCTTGCTCAGGCAAGGAGTTACGTGCCCTACTGATTGACACAAAGCACAGAACACAGTTGAACCCAAGTGCCTGCTTAGGCTATGGCTGGGTGGGAGGCACAGGTGGCCCGCAGATTGACGGAGGGCTGCGTGTGCTGAGGTGCGGGGTTGAGGGCAGGTTTGGGGGAGATGAGAGGTCCACCTAGGGTGTAGCCTGCAGCGGGGAGAAGATGGAGCTATGGATGTGGAGTCAAAAGACCTGCATTCTAGTTCTTGGCACCCTGTGACCTTGGGAAAATTCTAACTTCTCTGGACCTTGATTTTTATCATCTTTAAAATGGAAATCACTGTGATGCACGCATTGAGGATTACTATTAGTATTTATAGGCTTTGCTGTTTTCTGAAAGAACAGAAAAGACAGATTTCAGGGTGTTCTAAAAGGTGACCCACGCTCTTCAGTGTTACCAAATGGCCTCTGGAGCATGGATGGGCCTGCCTGGGCCACCCCGATTTTGCATCCCCGCCCTCAGTCCCCAGGCTAAAGATTGGGAGCGGGTAGGCCTTAGCTGTACTCCCTCTGCCCCATCCACCATCCCTGCTTCTCCCTTGATTTAGGGAGAATCTTTTAAACTGAAAAATCCTTAAGTATGGCCTTTCACCTCTCCCATGAGGCTGGGCTGGGCCAGGCGGGCAGAGGCGAAGGAGGAAGCCTGGGTCTCTCCCAGCCCTGCTGCTCACTGGGTTAAGGAGGGGACCCCGGGGAGCCTGGGAGACAGATCATGCCAGCTGTGCCATTTCCTTCTGTTGTTCTGGCTTATTGCGCTTTCCTGATAATTAACGAGACGGAGGTGTTTTTCAAGTTGATCATTGAATCCCTCTTTTCTGAAGTGCCCATTTATGCACATTCCTGCTTTTTCTGTAGGTGAATCTTTCCCCATTGGATTTAGGAGTTTTCAGGGATGCTGTGCCCTGTGTCTTTGGTGGCTACATGTGTGGCAAATGCCTTCTCCCACTCCACAGCTTATCTTTCCACTGTTTATGGAGACCTTTGATAAACAAAACTCGTAATTCTGTGGAAATAAGTAAAGACCACCCAACTGAGAACACAGAGACTGCTGATTCAGAGCCCTCTTGAGCAAGCTATAATTTGCCTTTGGTAGAGACTCAGGGGCAGGCAGGGAAAGAGAGATTTATGAGTGTAGTGGTCAAAGGGGAAGGCTTGCCCTGATGGGAGGCTGTTGGCACGGGCAGGCTAGAGACCAGCTACCCAGAGGCAGGGTGTCTTAAGCGATTTGTTTGTGAAGTGCATTTGGTTTCTTTTGTTAGCCCTGTGTCAGAAGCAGGGGTGAAAAAGCAGAACATGGCAGGTATTGACCAGGTCCTGATCATCTGGGCTGGTGGCTGCAGACTTGTGGTTTGGCTCCCTGGGCCGATTGCTGGGCAGGTTCTACAGTCAGGCCATTGTCCATCTGCATAGTCTCTGTCTATTCCTAAGTGCCCGAATTTTAAGCCTTTTTCTCTGTGTGCTTTGCTGAGTCCTCTCCTATGTTGAGGTCATGAAGATATCCTACATTTTCTTCTAAATGCTTTACACATTTGCTTTACACTAATGCATCAGGCATTGGTTTTTGTGAGCAATATAAAAAAGGAATTCAATTTTAAATTTTTATGCAGATACTCAGTTGTCTCAGCGTGTTTATTAACAAACCAGTTGTTTGTGGGCCTCCCGTGTTCCTAGGTGGAGAATTTGTGCATACGCTCATCTTTTTCACAGTCCATTTGTGCTTCCCCGTGCCTTCATTCTGTAGCTTGACAGCAAGTTCTGTTACTTGACAAAATAAGTCTCTTTGTTTCTCCTTCTATAGAAGTATCTTGGCTTTGACGTTTCACATAAATTTGACTATCCACTGGTCAATTTCTGGCAAAGAAAACCTGTTGGGATTTTGGTAGAGATTGCTTTGAATTCTATGAAGCCAGTTGGGGAAAACAGATATTGGTAGTTGAGGTCCTGCACATGTTTTGTTAACGAGGTGTATGTTGTCTTGTGTAGCAAATGAAATTTTAAATTTTTATTTTGAAAATATCTAGCATAGACATATAAACATAACATTGGTTTTTACTTGTTGATTTTTTGAATTTCACTAAGTTCTTATAAATGTGTATGTACATGCTGGGGAATTTTCTGTGTATACAATCCCGTTTACAGTGATGGAATCCCGGCATCCTTTTCTGCCAGTTTACCTCTTAATTGTTTTTGTGCTTTTACTGTGATGACTGATACCTGCTCTACAATTTCTCATACAAGTGATGATTGGAGGCATTTTTATTCTGAAGTTCAAAAGAAAACTATTCCATTGTTCATCAGTGAATATGGTTTTTGTCACAGGCTTTTTTTGGGTACATACAGTGTAAGCTGAGCACAGAAAACCTGAAGTGCTTCAAAATAAAACCTTTTTGAGTTCAGAAACTTTTCAGATTTTGAAGCATTTCTGAACAGTGACATTTGAAACCTATCTGGCATTTCAGATAAGGGATATCCAACCAGTACTCTTTATGAAACTAAGTCCTTTTGGATTCCTCATTTCCAAGATATTTTTAAAAAATTGTAAATGGATGTTGAATTGTATCTAGCCCTTTTTCTGCATTTATTGAAACGATTTTTTGATTTACTTCTCTAGTATGATACCATTCATTGTAATGTAAAATGACTTTTTAATTTTTCAGTCACTGCTTACTATCGTAGATTCATTAGAGTACTGCCCATTTCATTTATTTGTACTATCTTTTCAATCTATTTGAATCTAGAATAGAACATGGGTTGCATTTGTTGCATCCTGTTAGCGAACACAAGGGACGTTAGCACACAAGTGATACCAAACTTGCTAACCTGGTTAACATGGTATCTACCAGACGTCCCTTATAAAATTGTCGCCCTGCTGTGTGGTTCATAAATTACCTATAGAAAGACATTGTGAGACCATGTGACTGTCCTTCACCTAAGTGGTTTTTACTATCCATTGGTTTTTTTTTTTTTTTTTTTTAATGTTTTTGGTACTGGGGATCGAACTCAGGACCCCATGTTTGCCAGCCAGGCGCTTCCCTGCTGAGCTAAACCTCCAGCCCCCATTGGTAACTGTTGCCTGAACTGGCACCATGGTGATTCTGTTTCTACTATTCCTTCTCTTGTGTGTTGACTTTGCTCCATCCAAGAGACTCCCCCTCTCTCCCAACTTAGAAATAATTCACTGAGCTCTCCTCTCCTTCTAGAGAATTAGTATGTCTAGGCCTTCTTGGTAACAGAGCTAAGCTTTCCTTTAAGAAACACAATAAATTTATAAATAAATATTTAATTTTAGTTAGAATTAAGCTTTTTGGTCTCCTTACCTCATTTTATATTTGTATTATCCTCTCCCACAATTCAAATCTGAGTTATAAATATATCGATAAGTCCATTTATTTGCCAAATCCAATAATATAACATAATACTGGGATTGCTTTGAAAGTGACATCACTGACAACCAATGAAATTCAAATTTTCTTTGTTGTTCTTTGTTCTTAGAGCCCACTTGGGAAATATAATCAAAGTATGACGCTCAAAGTGACCTGAATTAATTTTTCTTTCATTCTCTCTGTTGTAATTAAGTAATTGGAAAGTAACCTTGTCTCTTTTTGGTCAATTTAGTGTTTTTTATTGATTTTACTTTGTTTTTTGAGTATGTAAAATGTTAACACATTTCAAAAGTCAAAAGCATAAGAAAAGATGGATCAGATTCTTCCTGTTCGCGTCCCTGACTGTCCTTTCCTTTTCTACCATTGTGTTAGGTTTATATTCTTTGTTTCTTTTTGAAAATGTATACTCCATTATTTTTGCATTTACCTTAAAAGATAACCTGCAATACAACTCTGTGTCTGTTAAGTTCAGAGATCTTCATTGTTGGCGATTACATAGCCCATCATGTGTCATGTATTTCACCAGCCTCCTGAGAAGGAGACTTAGGTTGTCTGTAATATTTTGGTATTGTACATAATACTGTCATGAACAATTTTCATGTTTTGGACAAATATTATAGAATAAATTTCTGGGTCAAAGACTTGAACACATACATAGTTCTATTACCTTACTAAATTTCTCTCCATAAAGATTATACCATTTTGCATCCCACCAGCAGTTCATGTGTGTGTGTGTGTGTGTGTGTGTGTAGCTTTTTTGCACAACTTAAATGGAATTTTCGCAAATGTAAGAAGTGGCATTTTAATTTTAATTTCTCTTATTACAAAAGAAGCTGAATATATTTTCATATATTTCAGGACTGCGTGTTGGCAGGGTTCCAAAAAGCAATAGGAAATAAAATATTTTCCCTACTGAGTTATCGATAACCTTTGAGACTGAAAAATAGAAACATACATTTATAAGCGTGTATAACCACATTAAGGAAGTACTCATAAGTTTCTGTTTTACTGAGCATATTAATCAAGAATTAATATTAAATTTTGTCAAAGGTATTTTCAGTATTCAACATTCATGTGATTCTTTGCCATTAGATTTATTATGATGTTGAATTATATTAATAGATCTGATAATACTGAAGTATCCATCCATTGCTGACCTTAGGTTGTTCATATTTATTTTTTCTTATGTGTTCATGAATGAGATTGATCTGTGCCCTTTCTCTTACTGTCTTTGCTAGGTTTTGGTACCAGTGTTGTAAATCCTTTTGCTCTTGGGTCTCTTGTTTCTTTAGGTGCTTGGTTACTTTCCATTCAGACTACTCTGACTCCTTAAAAATGTATGTGTGACATTTCTCGAGGCCTAGGATGACAGTGGAGTCTTCAGAGGAGTTATAAATGTTCATTTCATAAGGCATTGGGGACATTTACATCTGACGGATAATTTCAGGGAAATTCCTTATGAGTTTCCCTGGAACAGTCAAACCCTCACTAAACACGCACATACAATTGTCCCTTA